TGTTCAGGTGTATATCAGTATGTAGTGTCTCTACTTTAAAGAGTCCTCTCCTGCTGATGTTCAGGTGTATATCAGTATGTAGTGTCTCTGCTTTAAAGAGTCCTCTTCTGCTGATGTTCAGGTGTATATCAGTATGTAGTGTCTCTACTTTAAAGAGTCCTCTCCTGCTGATGTTCAGGTGTATATCAGTATGTAGTGTCTCTACTTTAAAGAGTCCTCTCCTGCTGATATTCAGGTGTATATCAGTATGTAGTGTCCCTACTTTAAAGAGTCCTGATGTTCAGGTGTATATCAGTATGTAGTGTCCCTACTTTAAAGAGTCCTGATGTTCAGGTGTATATCAGTATGTAGTGTCTCTACTTTAAAGAGTCCTGATGTTCAGGTGTATATCAGTATGTAGTGTCTCTACTTTAAAGAGTCCTCTCCTGCTGATGTTCAGGTGTATATCAGTATGTAGTGTCTCTACTTTAAAGAGTCCTCTCCTGCTGATGTTCAGGTGTAATCAGTATATAGTGTCTCTACTTTAAAGAGTCCTATCCTGATGCTGTTCAGGTGTATATCAGTATGTAGTGTCTCTACTTTAAAGAGTCCTCTCCTGCTGATGTTCAGGTGTATATCAGTATTAGTGTCTCTACTTTAAAGAGTCCTCTCCTGCTGATGTTCAGGTTGTATATCAGTATGTAATGTCTCTACTTTAAAGAGTCCTCTCCTGCTGATGTTCAGGTGTATTCAGTATGTAGTGTCTCTACTTTAAAGAGTCCTCTCCTGCTGATGTTCAGGTATTCAGTATGTAGTGTCTCTACTTTAAAGAGTCCTCTCCTGCTGATGATCAGGTATATCAGTATGTAGTGTCTCTACTTTAAAGAGTCCTCTCCTCTGAGGTTCAGGTGTATATCAGTGTAGTGTCTCTACTTTAAAGAGTCCTCTCCTCTGATGTTCAGGTGTATATCAGTATGTAGTGTCTCTACTTTAAAGAGTCCTCTCCTGCTGATATTCAGGTGTATATCAGTATGTAGTGTCTCTACTTTAAAGAGTCCTCTCCTGCTGATATTCAGGTGTATATCAGTGTGTAGTGTCTCTACTTTAAAGAGTCCTCTCCTGCTGATGTTCAGGTGTATATCAGTGTGTAGTGTGCTACTTTAAAGAGTCCTCTCCTGCTGATGTCAGGTGTATATCAGTATGTAGTGTCCCTACTTTAAAGAGTCCTCTCCTGCTGATGTGCAGGTGTATATCAGTATGTAGTGTCCCTACTTTAAAGAGTCCTCTCCTGCTGATGTTCAGGTGTATATCAGTATGTAGTGTCTCTACTTTAAAGAGTCCTCTCCTGCTGATGTTCAGGTGTATATCAGTATGTAATGTCTCTACTTTAAAGAGTCCTCTCCTGTTTCTCAGATGAGCGTTCGCACCGACCCAGAGGCCATCCGGCTCGTTGCCAGGGCAACAAACAAACTGCTGGACAGCCTGGGGGGCTTGGCTGTGGAGGTGAGACACCTGTCTGTCTTTCACAAAATTCTGACTTTTTTCTAAAAAGACGGACTTCTTTCTGCGGATTGATACGACCGCACAAAGTCCTTTTTCAGTGCGTAGTCACGTTACCCAGAATTAGCAACCTCCAAATCGACCAATCAGGATCGAGTATTCAGTTAAGCCGTGTAATAAATATTTGTATTTGACGAACTCTCCTTCGTGTTTCCTTGACCTCAGCACGTTTTCTCTCGAGGTCGAGGAGCAGAGGATGTCTGATAACCAGAGCAAAGTTCACACACACACACACACACACACACACACACATACACACACACACTCTGTTCCTGACTCAGCATCGACATAAAAACAAAACACTGCAATCGTGTGTGTGTGTGTGATGACACTGAGCAGGATGTGTGTGTGTGTGTGTGTGTGTGTGTGTGTGGTGTGTGTGTGTGTGTGTGTGTGATGACACTGAGCAGGATGTGTGTGTGTGTGTGTGTGTGTGTGTGTGTGTGTGTGTGTGTGTGTGTGTGTGTGTGTGTGCGTGTGTTTAAAGAGCTAATTATCTAAATTGTTTTTCTTTCTTCAGTTTATGAACTTTATTTTGAAATGCTTAATAAAAGGAAGTGTGAGGTTTTCAAATTAAAAGAGCTGGCTAGGGTTAGGAGTCGTGGGTGTGTTTTATAATAGGGTTAGGGTTATTAATATTAATGAATATATATATTCTCTCTAGTTGGCAGGCATGAAGTCGTGGCTGGACCTGCGCACCGAGCTGCTCTTCCTCCAGGTGAACGCCTCCTCCTCGCCCTCCGCTCTGTACCAGGCCGTCAGCAGGATCGTGTGTGGTCACCCTGAGGGGGGGGGGCTGCAGATCAAGAGCCTCAACTGGTACGAAGACAGCAACTACAAGGCTCTGTTCGGGAGCCACAACTCCAGCGAGGACCAGGAGGGGGCGCACTACGACAACTCCTCAAGTACTGCACTGCTTTACTCTATATACTCTATACTCTCTATATCAGCGGTTTTCAAAGTGTGAGGCTTCAGGGGTGGCGCAGCGTGCTTGTTCGCATCAAAGACGCTGACTCATTGTCCCACTAAAGTACAGGTGAGTGTAATAAGGAGCAAAAGCTGACGTTCAGTGTGTGGCCGGGAGCATATCAGGATGTATTTTTATTTTTTTAAACATATGTTTAAAACATAAAGATAAAAAAGTTATGGTTTAATGTTTTAAGGAGGTGACGCTACTCAGCCAATCAAATGGGTGCAGTCAGTGAGTCAGCACGATAGATTCAAACACAGAGACGAGAGGAACAGTCGGAGTCATTCCAAATGGCGTGCTCAAAAAAGAGAAAGGGAGACAGCGAAAACAGAGCGTTTAATGACATGTTCTCTTACTGGACCTCTTTGAAGTGCAATTGAATACCCCTGCATTATAGCAACAACACTACGGAACACTCCTTCCTCATTCTGAATTAAAACACAGTTTTAATGATGTGTGTTCCAGCGCCGTACTGCAACAGCCTGGTCCAGAGTCTGGACTCCAACCCGATGTCCCGGATGATCTGGACGGCTCTGAAGCCGCTGCTGATGGGGAAGATCCTGTACACGCCCGACACGCCGGCCACGCAGAGGGTCATCCACGAGGTGCTCCTGAGTCACTAAGTTAACCCTCATCCACGAGGTGCTCCTGAGTCACTAAGTTAACCCTAACCCTCATCCACGAGGTGCTCCTGAGTCACTAAGTTAACCCTCATCCACGAGGTGCTCCTGAGTCACTAAGTGAACCCTCATCCACGAGGTGCTCCTGAGTCACTAAGTGAACCCTAACCCTCATCCACGAGGTGCTCCTGAGTCACTAAGTTAACCCTCATCCACGAGGTGCTCCTGAGTCACTAAGTGAACCCTAACCCTCATCCACGAGGTGCTCCTGAGTCACTAAGTGAACCCTCATCCACGAGGTGCTCCTGAGTCACTAAGTGAACCCTAACCCTCATCCACGAGGTGCTCCTGAGTCACTAAGTTAACCCTCATCCACGAGGTGCTCCTGAGTCACTAAGTGAACCCTCATCCACGAGGTGCTCCTGAGTCACTAAGTTAACCCTAACCCTCATCCACGAGGTGCTCCTGATCACTAAGTTAACCCTCATCCACGAGGTGCTCCTGAGTCACTAAGTGAACCCTCATCCACGAGGTGCTCCTGAGTCACTAAGTGAACCCTCATCCACGAGGTGCTCCTGAGTCACTAAGCTAACCCTCATCCACGAGGTGCTCCTGAGTCACTAAGTTAACCCTAACCCTCATCCACGAGGTGCTCCTGAGTCACTAAGTGAACCCTCATCCACGAGGTTCTCCTGAGTCACTAAGTGAACCCTCATCTACGAGGTGCTCCTGAGTCACTAAGTTAACCCTAACCCTCATCCACGAGGTGCTCCTGAGTCACTAAGTGAACCCTCATCCACGAGGTGCTCCTGAGTCACTAAGTGAACCCTCATCCACGAGGTGCTCCTGAGTCACTAAGTGAACCCTCATCCACGAGGTGCTCCTGAGTCACTAAGTGAACCTACTCCCTCACCCTCATTCCACGAGGTGCTCCTGAGTCACTAAGTGAACTCTCATCCACGAGGTGCTCCTGAGTCACTAAGTGAACCCTCATCCACGAGGTGCTCCTGAGTCACTAAGTGAACCCTCATCCACGAGGTGCTCCTGAGTCACTAAGTGAACCCTCATCCACGAGGTGCTCCTGAGTCACTAAGTGAACCCTCATCCACGAGGTGCTCCTGAGTCACTAAGTGAACCCTCATCCACGAGGTGCTCCTGAGTCACTTTACTGAAGTGTACTCACTCAGGATAACACAAACGAGAAACCTTTAATAAACCACTGCACATCCAAAACAAACACGTCTGCCCGGCAACACAATAAACGGGTTAAACATCAACTCACCTGAAAATAAGAAGCATTTTAAACGTTTGACAGGAAGTGAAGTGGTGTCTGGTTTCTGTAAACTATTCCAGTCTGAATTAGAAACTGGAAACCGAGGAGAGCCTCAAACTGTGGACTAATAACAGGGGCTTTTATATTCTTAAATATCAGCTGTTTTGAATCCCAGAGCTGTGTGTAACTCGGGGTATTACCTGGGGAGAGGGTGTTGTTAAATTGTGTTTGGATTGATACTCCATTTGTCTCTTAAAGCGTTATAAATAAAGTTTTCTTTGTGTCTGAAAGCGTTATAAATAAAGTTGTCTTTGTGTCTCAGGTGAACCGGACCTTCCAGGAGCTCGGTGTGTTCAGGGACCTGGGCGGCATGTGGGATGAAATGAGACCCAAAGTGTGGCGCTTCATGGAGGACGGAGAGCAGATGGACGTCATCCGGGTAAACAAGAGTGTGTGTGTGTGTGTGTGTGTGTGTGTGTGTGTGTGTGTGTGTGTGTGTGTGTGTGTGTCAGCTTTAGGGCCAGATAACTGACTGACTGACTGACTGACTGACTGACTGACTGACGACTGACTGACTGACTGACGACTGACGACTGACTGACTGACTGACGACTGACGGACTGACTGACTGACTGACTGACTGACTGACGACTGTCTGACGACTGACTGACTGACTGACTGACTGACTGACTGACGACTGACTGACTGACTGACTGACTGACGACTGACTGACTGACTGACGACTGACTGACTGACTGACGACTGACTGACTGACGACTGACTGACTGACTGACGACTGTCTGACTGACTGACTGACGACTGTCTGACTGACTGACTGACGACTGACGACTGACTGACGACTGACTGACGACTGACTGACTGACGACTGACTGACTGACTGACGACTGACGACTGACTGACTGACTGACTGACTGACTGACGACTGACGACTGACTGACTGACGACTGACTGACTGACGAACTGACTGACTGACTGAGCTCCAAAGGGTCTCAGCTCCCCCCCCCCCCCCCCCCAGTATCTCACGGTGTTTTCTGTCCAGACTCTTCTGAAGAACAACGCCACGGCCCGGCTCTTCCACGCTCAGCTGAGCGGCACCGATTGGACGGTCTCGGACGTCTCTGACTTCCTGTCGAAGCAGGCGTCTGACCTCCGACCCCCCGGAGAGGTCACCTGGAGGAACGTCTTCAACGAGACGGACGAGGCCATCCGGAGCATCTCGCGCTTCATGGAGGTTATAAACACCCGTTCTGTTTTATTTGATTGACTTACTATTTGATCTGTTTATCATGTTGCTCTGTGGGAGGAGCCTCAGATCTTCATTGACATTTCTACACATGACAATAAAAGCCTTGAACATTAAGGGTCCCGTGTCACGGCCATTTCTACTGATCATAGTTCCATCGTTGAGGTCGACTAGAATAGATTCACATTGTTCAATGTTCCAAACTCTCATTGGTTTCTCAAACAGCATCTCTGTGTAGTCTGTAGTGTCTCTGTCCTGCACGGCTTGTGGGAGCTCCTGCCCCCCCCTCCCTGTGAGCCCACTGGCCGTCTGCGAGACTGCGAGACACAGCTAAACCCAGCCCGAACACACACCCGCAGCCTGGCTGGGAGTCTGTGTGTGCTCACACACCAAGTCACAGCCTCGCTGCGTCCCGCCGTCTCAGGGAGGAGAAAAGATTGAGTGTGTGTGTGTGAGGAAGTCTGCACCACGTAACGGCTCCGCGGATTGGTCCATTTGGGTATGGGCACGTCACTGTACCCAGGAAGAAAAAGAGAAACCCCCAGCGAGGCGTTCTGGGGCAGCACAGACAGGTCTTCTCTGTGTTAGAGCTTTACTCCCTGCAGGCTGCACTTTGAGGGTTTGAGGCTCTGCAGAGCGTTCACATGCAGAAGCTTCAGAACACCAGGGGACGGGTCAGAAGCTACAGAACACAAGGGGACGGGTCAGAAGCTACAGAACACCAGGGGACGGGTCAGAAGCTACAGAACACAAGGGGACGGGTCAGAAGCTACAGAACACAAGGGGACGGGTCAGAAGCTACAGAACACAAGGGGACGGGTCAGAAGCTACAGAACACCAGGGGACAGGTCAGAAGCTACAGAACACAAGGGGACGGGTCAGAAGCTACAGAACACAAGGGGACGGGTCAGAAGCTACAGAACACCAGGGGACGGGTCAGAAGCTACAGAACACAAGGGGACGGGTCAGAAGCTACAGAACACAAGGGGACGGGTCAGAAGCTACAGAACACCAGGGGACGGGTCAGAAGCTACAGAACACAAGGGGACGGGTCAGAAGCTACAGAACACAAGGGGACGGGTCAGAAGCTACAGAACAGAAGGGGACGGGTCAGAAGCTACAGAACACAAGGGGACGGGTCAGAAGCTATGGAACACAAGGGGACGGGTCAGAAGCTACAGAACACCAGGGGACGGGTCAGAAGCTACAGAACACAAGGGGACGGGTCAGAAGCTACAGAACACAAGGGGACGGGTCAGAAGCTACAGAACACAAGGGGACGGGTCAGAAGCTACGGAACACAAGGGGACGGGTCAGAAGCTACGGAACACAAGGGGACGGGTCAGAAGCTACAGAACACAAGGGGACGGGTCAGAAGCTACGGAACACAAGGGGACGGGTCAGAAGCTACGGAACACAAGGGGACGGGTCAGAAGCTACAGAACACAAGGGGACGGGTCAGAAGCTACAGAACACCAGGGGACGGGTCAGAAGCTACGGAACACAAGGGGACGGGTCAGAAGCTACGGAACACAAGGGGACGGGTCAGAAGCTACGGAACACCAGGGGACGGGTCAGAAGCTACAGAACACAAGGGGACGGGTCAGAAGCTACAGAACACAAGGGGACGGGTCAGAAGCTACAGAACACCAGGGGACGGGTCAGAAGCTACAGAACACAAGAGGACGGGTCAGAAGCTACAGAACACCAGGGGACGGGTCAGAAGCTACAGAACACAAGGGGACGGGTCAGAAGCTACAGAACACCAGGGGACGGGTCAGAAGCTACAGAACACAAGGGGACGGGTCAGAAGCTACAGAACACAAGGGGACGGGTCAGAAGCTACAGAACAGAAGGGGACGGGTCAGAAGCTACAGAACACAAGGGGACGGGTCAGAAGCTACGGAACACAAGGGGACGGGTCAGAAGCTACGGAACACAAGGGGACGGGTCAGAAGCTACGGAACACCAGGGGACGGGTCAGAAGCTACAGAACACAAGGGGACGGGTCAGAAGCTACAGAACACAAGGGGACGGGTCAGAAGCTACAGAACACAAGGGGACGGGTCAGAAGCTACAGAACACAAGGGGACGGGTCAGAAGCTACGGAACACAAGGGGACGGGTCAGAAGCTACGGAACACAAGGGGACGGGTCAGAAGCTACAGAACACAAGGGGACGGGTCAGAAGCTACGGAACACAAGGGGACGGGTCAGAAGCTACGGAACACAAGGGGACGGGTCAGAAGCTACAGAACACAAGGGGACGGGTCAGAAGCTACAGAACACCAGGGGACGGGTCAGAAGCTACAGAACACCAGGGGACGGGTCAGAAGCTACAGAACACAAGGGGACGGGTCAGAAGCTACAGAACACAAGGGGACGGGTCAGAAGCTACAGAACACAAGGGGACGGGTCAGAAGCTACAGAACACCAGGGGACGGGTCAGAAGCTACAGAACACCAGGGGACGGGTCAGAAGCTACAGAACACCAGGGGACGGGTCAGAAGCTACAGAACACCAGGGGACGGGTCAGAAGCTACAGAACACAAGGGGACGGGTCAGAAGCTACAGAACACAAGGGGACGGGTCAGAAGCTACAGAACACAAGGGGACGGGTCAGAAGCTACAGAACACCAGGGGACGGGTCAGAAGCTACAGAACACAAGGGGACGGGTCAGAAGCTACAGAACACCAGGGGACGGGTCAGAAGCTACAGAACACCAGGGGACGGGTTCAGAAGCTACAGAACACCAGGGGACGGGTCAGAAGCTACAGAACACAAGGGGACGGGTCAGAAGCTACAGAACACAAGGGGACGGGTCAGAAGCTACAGAACACAAGGGGACGGGTCAGAAGCTACAGAACACAAGGGGACGGGTCAAGAAGCTACAGAACACAAGGGGACGGGTCAGAAGCTACAGAACACCAGGGGCCGGGTCAGAAGCTACAGAACACAAGGGGACGGGTCAGAAGCTACAGAACACCAGGGGACGGGTCAGAAGCTACAGAACACAAGGGGACGGGTCAGAAGCTACAGAACACAAGGGGACGGGTCAGAAGCTACAGAACACAAGGGGACGGGTCAGAAGCTACAGAACACCAGGGGACGGGTCAGAAGCTACAGAACACAAGGGGACGGGTCAGAAGCTACAGAACACCAGGGGACGGGTCAGAAGCTACAGAACACCAGGGGACGGTCAGAAGTCAGGGGTGGAAAGCTACAGAACACAAGGGGACGGGTCAGAAGCTACAGAACACAAGGGGACGGGTCAGAAGCTACAGAACACAAGGGGACGGGTCAGAAGCTACAGAACACAAGGGGACGGGTCAGAAGCTACAGAACACAGGGGACGGGTCAGAAGCTACAGAACACAAGGGGACGGGTCAGAAGCTACAGAACACAAGGGGACGGGTCAGAAGCTACAGAACACAAGGGGACGGGTCAGAAGCTACAGAACACAAGGGGACGGGTCAGAAGCTACAGAACACCAAGGGGACGGGTCAGAAGCTACAGAACACCAGGGGACGGGTCAGAAGCTACAGAACACAAGGGGACGGGTCAGAAGCTACAGAACACAAGGGGACGGGTCAGAAGCTACAGAACACAAGGGGACGGGTCAGAAGCTACAGAACACAAGGGGACGAGTCAGAAGCTACAGAACACAAGGGGACGGGTCAGAAGCTACGGAACACAAGGGGACGGGTCAGAAGCTACGGAACACAAGGGGACGGGTCAGAAGCTACGGAACACAAGGGGACGGGTCAGAAGCTACGGAACACAAGGGGACGGGTCAGAAGCTACGGAACACCAGGGGACGGGTCAGAAGCTACGGAACACAAGGGGACGGGTCAGAAGCTACGGAACACAAGGGGACGGGTCAGAAGCTACGGAACACAAGGGGACGGGTCAGAAGCTACGGAACACAAGGGGACGGGTCAGAAGCTACAGAACACCAGGGGACGGGTCAGAAGCTACAGAACACAAGGGACGGGTTCAGAAGCTAACAGAACACCAGGGGACGGGTCAGAAGCTACAGAACACCAGGGGACGGGTCAGAAGCTACCAGAACACAAGGGGACGGGTCAGAAGCTACAGAACACCAGGGGACGGGTCAGAAGCTACAGAACACCAGGGACGGGTCAGAAGCTACAGAACACCAGGGGACGGGTCAGAAGCTACAGAACACCAGGGGACGGGTCAGAAGCTACAGAACACCAGGGACGGGTCAGAAGCTACAGACACAAGGGGACGGGTCAGAAGCTACAGAACACAAGGGGAGGCGGTCAGAAGCTACAGAACACAAGGGGACGGTCAGAAGCACAGAACACCAGGGGACGGGTCAGAAGCTACAGAACACAAGGGGACGGGTCAGAAGCTACAGAACACCAGGGGAGGGTCAGAAGCTACAGAACACAAGGGGACGGGTCAGAAGCTACAGAACACCAGGGACGGGTCAGCAGCTACAGAACAACACTGGGACGGCGTCAGACGCTACAGAACACCACGGGGACGGGTCAGAAGCTACAGAACACAAGGGGACGGGGGTCAGAAGCTACAGAACACCAGGAAGGGTCAGAAACAAGGGACGGGTCAGAAGCTACAGAACCACCAGGGGACGGGTCAGAAGCTACAGAACACCAGGGGACGGGTCAGAAGCTACAGAACACAAGGGACGGGTCAGAAGCTACAGCAGACCACCAGGGGACGGGTCAGAAGCTACAAGAACACCAGGGGACGGGTCAGAAGCTACAGGAACACAAGGGGACGGGTCAGAAGCTACAGGACAACCAAGGGACGGGTCAGACGCTACAGAACCACAAGGGGACGGTGTCAGAAGCTACAGATAACACAAGGGACGGGTCAGAAGCTACAGAACACAAGGGGACGGGTCAGAAGCTACAGACAACACCAGGGGACGGGTCAGAAGCTACAGAACACCAGGGGACGGATCAGAACCGGAGGAGCATGACGTGGGACCTTTAATGTTCACTGTTTTATTATCTGTATTTAGTATATGATGTTATGTTTGTTTTACCAAAAAAAGCCTGTAGTGTAACTGATATATAAATGTGAGAGGGCTGCTGTGATTGGAGGGTAAAGATCACCTGACCTGTGTGTGTGTGTGTCTGTCTGTCTGTCTGTCTGTCTGTCTGTCTGTCTGTCTGTCTGTCTGTCTGTCTGTCTGTCTGTCTGTCTGTCTGTCTGTCTGTCTGTCTGTCTGTCTGTCTGTCTGTCTGTGTGTGTGTGTCAGTGTGTGAACCTGGACAAGCTGGAGCCGGTCTCCACGGAGGAGCAGCTGGTGGACCGCTCCATGGTTCTTCTGGAGGACCGCAGGTTCTGGGCCGGCATCGTGTTCCCGGACCTCGAGCCCAACGCCACGGAGCTGCCCGACTCCATCAACTACAAGATCCGCATGGACATCGACAACGTGGAGAGGACCAACAAGATCAAAGACGCGTGAGGACACACACAGAGACACACACACACACACTCTCACTGATAAAAGTGTTCATACACCCTGGAGGTGTTTCTTTACAGTCGTTGTGGGGACCAACCTTCTTCTTGTGCCTCAAATCGACACCTAGTGGGCTGCAGAGGTACTGCCAATGAATTTCCTTACGGGGACAATAAAGTATATTGTATCGTATCAATGGGTGGAATACATTTAAAAGTGAATATTTCTACATATACAAATGTTTTTTGGGTAATTTACAAAATAAAATGAGTCCATAAAGACATCTTGGACGTCTCACATTATATATAATATGTATAATGTGATCAGAACGAAGTCAAAGGGTTCTTGAGTTGCTTCAGATTTCCTTTTCGATAACCCTTATTCACTTATTTTTATATATTGTTTTGCAACAGTGCCATTTAAATCTACTCCACACTGTCATTCACTCATTTACCTAACAGTTTGCTTTGTTTGCATCGGTTAGTTATGGGCTGGCCGATCAAAGGACACCAACGTCAATGATATTTGTTCATCTGTACATTAATATGGGATATTCAATAGAAGTACACAAGGTCTTTCACTGTTGATCTGAGACTCTCTTCACACAGAGGGGACACATGTCTCTTCTCCATCAACATGTGTCCCCTCTTCTACATCAACATGTGTCCCCTCTTCTACATCAACATCTGTCTCCTCTTCTTCATGTCTCTTCTACATCAACATGTGTCCCCTCTTCTACATCAACATCTGTCCCCTCTTCTACATCAACATCTGTCCCCTCTTCTTCATGTCTCTTCTACATCAACATGTGTCCCCTCTTCTACATCAACATCTGTCCCCTCTTCTTCATGTCTCTTCTACATCAACATCTGTCCCTCTTCTTCATGTCTCTTCTACATCAACATCTGTCCCCTCTTCTTCATGTCTCTTCTACATCAACATCTGTCCCCTCTTCTTCATGTCTCTTCTACATCAACAGTGTCCCCTCTTCTTCATGTTCTCTTCTACATCAAACATCTTCCTCTTCTTCATGTCTCTTCTACATCAACATCTGTCCCTCTTCTCCATTCTCTCTACATCACATCTGTCCCTCTTCTTCATGTCTCTTCTACAATCAACATGTGTCCCTCTCTTCTTCATGTCTCTTCTACATCAACATGTGTCCCCTCTTCTTCATGTCTCTTCTACATCAGCATGTGTCCCCTCTTCGTCATGTCCTCTTCTACAAATCAACATGTGTCCCCTCTTCTTCAGTCTCTTCTACATCAACATGGGTGTCCCCTCTTCTGTCTCTTATCATAGTCCTCTTCTACATCAACATGTGTCCTCCGTCTTCTTCATGTCTCTTCATACATCAACAATCTGTCCCCTCTTCTCCATGTCTCTTTCTACATCAACATGTGTCCCCTCTTCTTCATGTCTCTTCTACATCAACATTGTGTCCCCTCTTCTTCATGTCTCTTCTTAATCAACACGTGTCCTCTCTTCTTCATGTCTCTTCTACATCAACATCTGTCCCCCTCTTCTTCATGTCTCTTCTACATCAACATGTGTCCCCTCTTCTTCATGTCTCTTCTACATCAACATGTGTCCCCTCTTCTTCATGTCTCTTCTACATCAACATGTGTCCCCTCTTCTTCATGTCTCTTCTACATCAACATGTGTCCCCTCTTCTTCATGTCTCTTCTACATCAACATGTGTCCCCCTCTTCTTCATGTCTCTTCTACATCAACATGTGTCCCCTCTTCTTCATGTCTCTTCTACATCAACATGTGTCCCCTCTTCTTCATGTCTCTTCTACATCAACATGTGTCCCCTCTTCTTCATGTCTCTTCTACATCAACATGTGTCCCCTCTTCTTCATGTCTCTTCTACATCAACATGTGTCCCCTCTTCTTCATGTCTCTTCTACATCAACATGTGTCCCCTCTTCTTCATGTCTCTTCTTCTACATCAACATGTGTCCCCTCTTCTTCATGTCTCTTCTACATCAACATGTGTCCCCTCTTCTTCATGTCTCTTCTACATCAACACGTGTCCCCTCTTCTTCATGTCTCTTCTACATCAACATGTGTCCCCTCTTCTTCATGTCTCTTCTACATCAACATGTGTCCCCTCTTCTTCATGTCTCTTCTACATCAACATGTGTCCACTCTCTTCATGTCTCTTCTACATCATGTGTCCCCTCTTCTCCATGTCTCTTCTTCATCAACATGTGTCCCCTCTTCTTCATGTCTCTTCTACATCAACATGTGTCCCCTCTTCTTCATGTCTCTTCTACATCAACATGTGTCCCCTCTTCTTCATGTCTCTTCTACATCAACATGTGTCCCCTCTTCTTCATGTCTCTTCTTCTCTTCATCAACATGTGTCCCCTCTTCTTCATGTCTCTTCTACATCAACATGTGTCCCCTCTTCTTCATGCTCTTCTATCAACATGTGTCCCCTCTTCTTCATGTCTCTTTCTATCAACATGTGTCCCCTCTTCTTCATGTCTCTTCTACATCAACATGTGTCCCCTCTTCTTCAATGTCTCTTCTACATCAACATGTGTCCCCTCTTCTTCATGTCTCTTCTCTTCTACATCAACATGTGTCCCCTCTTCTTCATGTCTCTTCTACATCAACATGTGTCCCCTCTTCTTCATGTCTCTTCTACATCAACATGTGTCCCCTCTTCTTCATGTCTCTTCTACATCAAACATGTGTCCCCTCTTCTTCATGTCTCTTCTTACATCAACATGTGTCCCCTCTCTTCATGTCTCTTCTACATCAACATGTGTCCCCTCTTCTTCATGTCTCTTCTTACATCAACATGTGTCCCCTCTTCTTCATGTCTCTTCTTCATCAACATGTGTCCCCCTCTTTCTTCATGTCTCTCTTCTTACCATCAACATGTGTCCCCTCTTCTTCATGTCTCTTCTACATCAACATGTGTCCCCTCTTCTTCATGTCTCTTCTACATCAACATGTGTCCCCTCTTCTTCATGTCTCTTCTACATCAACATGTGTCCCCTCTTCTTCATGTCTCTTCTTACATCACATGTGGTCTCCTCTTCTTCATGTCTCTTCTACATCAACATGTGTCCCCTCTTCTTCATGTCTCTTCTACATCAACATGTGTCCCCTCTTCTCTCATGTCTCTTCTACATCAACATGTGTCCCCTCTTCTTCATGTCTCTTCTACATCAACATGTGTCCCCCTCTTCTTCATGTCTCTTCTACATCAACACTGTGTCCCCTCTTCTTCATGTCTCTTCTACATCAACACGTGTCCCCTTCTTCTTCATGTCTCTCTTCTACATCAACATGTTGTCCCCTCTTCTTCATGTCTCTTCTCATCAACACTGTGTCCCCTCTTCTTCATGTCTCTTCTACATCAACATGTGTCCCCTCTTCTTCATGTCTCTTCTACATCACCATGTGTCCCTCTTCTTCATGTCTCTTCTACATCAACATGTGTCCCCTCGTCTTCATGTCTCTTCTACATCAACATGTGTCCCCCTCTTCTTCATGTCTCTTCTACATCAACATGTGTCCCCTCTTCTTTCATGTCTCTTCTTCGTCAACATGTGTCCCCTCTTCTTCATGTCTTTTCTTCATCAACATGTGTCCCCTCTTCTTCATGTCTCTTCTACATCAACATGTGTCCCCTCTTCTTCATGTCTCTTCTACATCAACATGTGTCCCCTCTTCTTCATGTCTCTTCTTCATCAACATGTGTCCCCTCTTCTTCATGTCTCTTCTACATCAACATGTGTCCCCTCTTCTTCATGTCTCTTCTACATCAACATGTGTCCCCTCTTCTTCATGTCTCTTCTACATCAACATGTGTCCCCTCTTCTTCAATGTCTCTTCTACATCAACATGTGTCCCCTCTTCTTCATGTCTCTTCTTACATCAACATGTGTCCCCTCTTCTTCATGTCTCTTCTACATCAACATGTGTCCCCTCTTCTTCATGTCTCTTCTTACATCAACATGTGTCCCCTCTTCTTCATGTCTCTTCTTACTCAACATGTGTCCCCTCTTCTTCATGTCTCTTCTACATCAACATGTGTCCCCTCTCTCATTTTCTTCACTTCTTCATGTCTCTTCTACATCAACATGTGTCCCCTCTTCTTCATGTCTCTTCTACATCAACATGTGTCCCCTCTTCTTCATGTCTCTTCTACAATCAACATGTGTCCCCTCTTCTTCATGTCTCTTCTATCATCAACATGTGTCCCCTCTTCTTCATGTCTCTTCTACATCAACATGTGTCCCCTCTTCTTCATGTCTCTTCTACATCAACATGTGTCCCCTCTTCTTCATGTCTCTTCTACATCAACATGTGTCCCCTCTTCTTCATGTCTCTTCTACATCAACATGTGTCCCCTCTTCTTCATGTCTCTTCTACATCAACATGTGTCCCCTCTTCTTCATGTCTCTTCTACATCAACATGTGTCCCCTCTTCTTCATGTCTCTTCTACATCAACATGTGTCCCCCTCTTCTTCATGTCTCTTCTACATCAACATGTGTCCTCTCTTCTTCATGTCTCTTCTACATCAACATGTGTCCCCTCTGTGGAAAGAGACTCTGAAAGTTTCAGGAACAAAGATTCTCTCTCTTTTTGATCCATTTCTATAAAAACCTGTCTGAAAATGAGCTGATCAGATTTTGGCCACTTGATGATGTCATAACGATGTTTTGTCTTGTGTAACCATTAGCCAATCAGCAACCACTTTGGAAACAGGGCTGAAACAGAGGGGATTATGGGTAATGCTACAATGATCTGTTTGGTGTTTCAGCCAATCAGAGACAGGCTCTGGATGTATCTGAGCCCTTGGATATATTGATGAGAAACAGGATAATAGGGGACCTTTAAAGTTACTTTATCATGACTGCTGTCCTCGTGATGCCTTCAGGTACTGGGACCCCGGCCCCCGTGCAGACCCCTTCGAGGACATGCGGTACATCTGGGGCGGCTTCACGTACCTGCAGGACGTCATCGAGCAGGCCATCGTCCGAACGCTGACCGGCACCAAGGAGAAGACCGGCGTCTACATCCAGCAGATGCCCTACCCCTGCTACGTGGACGACATGTGAGGAAACCCCACACGACACAGCCACGCTGTTAAAGGGAGAGGGAACAACATTAAGGGCAGTGTTGGGGTAACGTACAAAGTGTTAGAGTAATCAGATTACAGTTGTGTGTAACGCGTTGTTGCTTCAGCAGTAATCACACTTACTAAGCTGATAGGATGGCACTCGTTACTTTCATCTGACTAACGGGAGGACAGAACAATAAACCAAACGTCTCTTTTCTCTGGCGCTGCACTCAGAGTTCATGGATGAGGAGACGCAGCAGTCTCATAGCAGAGAGAAACAGGCGAGGCAAACATCGTGGAGGAAATGTCGCCCGTTTCATTATTACTTCCATGGTTTCCCCGGTAGAATCGCAGTCTTTCCCAAAACATGTTGAGCAAGAAATAGGTAACGGGCGGCGGCCATCAGGCGGGAACTCTTTGACCTGGAGCTGTTCTGAAACTGAGCTGAAGAGAACGATAGTTACGGCTGTAACTACGGTTCTATGAGTCCCGGATGACCGCCAGAGGCGGTGCTTTAGCACTGTATGTGTCCATCGCGCGCATGCGCATCTCGAGTACCAATAACAACAAAGTCACCTGTGACCCACGTGACACCGGCTATATCAGCCGGTGTCGTCAGTGGATCTGTTCCCAGAATCTTCTCGCGAGCACACAAGAATTCTGAGTGACAGGGAACTCTGGCGGTCATCCGGGACTCATAGAACCGTAGTTACAGCCGTAACTATCGTTCTATTTCGTCCCTACTGACCGCCAGAGGCGGTGCTTTAGCACTGGATGACCTATACCAACCATGTCATGAAGAATCCAAGCACTTACTCACCTAGCTGGAAGCAGCGGAGCTTGGCAACAGGACCACACCCAGAGGGTGAGGAGTGGCGACATTGACTCGGTAGAACCTGGAGAATGTGCCAGAAGACGCCCATGATGCCGCGGCACAGATGGTCTCCAGGGGCACCCCTCTTCGGGCAGCCCACGATGTTGAGATGCTTTTTGTAGAGTGGCATCTCACCCCTGATGGCAGGGGGCGGCCACTGGCCCCAGACGCATGTGTGATGGTATCAACCACCCAGTGGGACAGCCGGAGCTTAGAGAGAGCACGACCCTTCTTAGTGCCGCCATGGCAAACGAAGAGCTGCTCTGACTGCCGTATACCGGCTGTATCAATCAATCAATCAATGTTTATTTATATAGCCCAATATCACAAATGTTACATTTGTCTCAGTGGACTTTACAGTTTGTACAAAATATCAGTATGACACATCGTACAAGGAAAAACTTCCGGAGAAAACCCACAGTTTAAAGGGAAAAATGGGAGAAACCTCAGGGAGAGCAACAGAGGAGGGATCCCTCTCCCAGGACGGACAGACGTGCAATAGATGCCGTGTGTAAATTGAAAAGATAATACATTTGCAACATAGGTAGTCCAAATGTTTGGAAATGCATGTGTGTGTATAATAGGAAGATGAATCCACGAGGATATCCATCCAGGACCTATGATCCAGGACCACAGCCACGACTCAAGATCCAGGGCTCGCGATCCAGGACAGAGGAGCGCAGGATCATCCATGACTCCGGATCCCGGCGTATATAGACACCAAAAAGAAAGACATTTGGGGAAGCTGGGTTAATGGGAACATGAGAGTACACAGGTATAGACAGAGAGAAGGAAGAAGTAAGATGTCCCCCGACAAACTAAGCCTATATCAGCAAAACTAGGGGCTGAATCTAATCAGCCCTAACTATAAGCTTTATCAAAAAGGAAGGTCTTAAGCGCACTCTTAAAAACGGATAGGGTGTCTGCCGCCCGAACACAAACTGGAAGCTGATTCCACAAATGTGGAGCTTGATAAGAAAAGGCTCTGGCTCCCATTGTACTTTTAGAGACTCTAGGAACAACCAACAACCCTGCATTCTTGGAACGCAATGCCCTAGTAGGACAGTAGGGTATAATGAGTTCTTTGAGGTAAGATGGCGCCTGCCCATTAAGGGCTTTGTAGGCGAGAAGAATAATTTTAAATTCTATCCTGTGTTCTATAGGGAGCCAGTGTAAGGCAGCCAGAACAGGAGTAATGTGGTCCCTTTTCCTAACTCTGGTTAGTACACGAGCCGCAGCATTTTGAATCAGCTGAAGCCACTTGACTGACTTCTTGGTACACCCTGATAATAAAGAGTTACAATAATCCAGCCTTGAAGTAACAAATGCATGGACTAGTTTCTCTGCATCGTTTTGAGGCAAGATATGCCTGATTTTTGCAATGTTACGTAGATGGAAGTAGGCGGTCCTTGAAATTGATTTTATGTGGGCGTTAAAGGATAAATCCTGATCAAATATAACACCAAGATTCCTTACAGTCTCACTGGAGGCCAAATTAATGCCATCCATAGTATCAATATACGCCCTCAGGGCACGCACAGGGCACAGCAACTCAGGTGTGCCGCTCTCCTGTGGAATGTTAAAGCGTGCCAGCTGGATAGGCCGATTGGAGTGGGCTAGTGGAAGCACCTTGGGCAGGAACGCCACATTCGGCCAGAGGGTAACGCCCGAGTCATCGGAGTTCCACCTCAGGCATGTACTGCTTACGGAGAGGGCATGAAGCTCTCCGACTCGCTTCCCTGAGGTTACGGCAAGCAGAAATGCTGCCTTCAGGGACAGCCACTTAAGCCCGACCTGGGCCAGGGGCTCGAAGGGCGGAGATGATAGGGCATCCAGCACTAGGGGCAGGTCCCAAGCCGGGGCCATTGGGGTGCTAGGGGGACGCTGCCGTAGAGCCCCTCTTAGAAAGAGGGACACTAACCTGTGGCGCCCCACTGTGGCGCCATCGACTCCGACATGTCGGGCAGAGATCGCAGCCATATACACCTTCAAAGTGGAGTGAGAACGTCCACTATCCAGAAGGGACTGCAGGAACTCCAAAATGGTGGCCACGGAGCAATGCCCCGGATTCTCAGCCTTACTCACACACCAGTGGGAGAAGAGCTTCCATTTGCACTCATACTGTGCCCGAGTGGATGGAGCTCTGGCATTCAGGATAGTTTCCCTGACAGATGCCGTGACGCCGCTCAACAGTGGGTTGGGCCCTGCAGAGGCCAAACCCAGAGCTGAAGGCGGTGAGAGTCGGGACACCAGATCTGACCCTTGAGCTGTGACAGAAGGTCCTTCCTGTCGGGGAGACGCCAAGGTGGGCTGCAGCAGAGACTGCGCAGCAGTGGGAACCAGACTCTCCCCGGCCAGCGGGGGGCGACCAGAAGGAGCCTGTGCCCCTGAGTAAGGACCCTCTGAAGCGTCTGCAGTATCAGAGGCAGCGGCGGGAAGGCATACAGGAGAGTGTCCGGCCAGTCGTGCGCCAGGGCATCCTGACCCAACGGGCTGGTCACCTCCGTCCAGGAGAACCAGAGGGGGCAGTGCCTCGACTCTTCTGAGGCAAAGAGGTCCACCTCGGCCCTGCCGAAAAGGCTCCAAATTGTCTCCACCACCTCTGGGTGAAGCCTCCACTCTCCCGGTGGAGGCTTGCGCCGTGAGAGGAAATCTGCGACCTGATTCAGGTCTCCTGGCAGAAAGACTGCCTGCAGACTGGCGAGGCGGGGGAGCGCCCAAGGCAAGAGGCTCTGTGAAACACGGATCAGCTGTGTGGACCTGGTGCCCCCCTGGTGGTTGATTTGGGCAACGGCGGACATGTTGTCCGAACGAATGAGCACATGCCTGCCCGCCAGTTGGGGTAAAAAATGCATGAGTGCGAGCAACACAGCCCGCAGCTCCAGCACATTGATATGGTGTGCACCTTCCTGGGCAGACCACTGCCCCTGCACAGTCCTGCCCTGCCACACCGCACCCCACCCCGAGAGACATGCATCCACAGTGACCGTCTCCCGGCGGGATGGGATGGCGCCCATAGGCACACCCATCAGAAGATAGGCCCTGTCCCTCCAGCGGGACAGAGAGTGGAGGCACCGCTGAGACACCCTGACTCTCTTGTGCCTGTGCCGCTTGGCGTCCAAGCGAAAGTTGTTCAGCCACATCTGCATGGGGCGCAGTGATAGCATGCCCAAGGGCACAACGGCTGAGGCAGCTGTCAGTCTGCCTAAGAGCCGGAGGAACTGGATGTAAGGCACCCTCTTGCCCAGTCTGAAGATGCGAAGATGGTGGGAAATGTCGTCCACACGACGAGGTGTCAAGTAGGCCCTCATGGCGACCGAGTCTAGGACCATCCCCAGGTAAGTGACCTGTTGGGAAGGGTCCAGGCAACTCTTCCTGGCGTTCACTGTTAGGCCCAACCGGGCTACATGGGATGAGAGGCGCGCCGTATCCTGGGCCACTTGGGCCCGGGACGGCGCGCAAACCAGCCAGTTGTCCAGATATGGCAGGACCTTCATGCCCTGTGCCTGCAGGGGAGCGAGCGCTGCCGGTACAACCCTGGTGAACACCCTTGGAGAGAGGGAGAGACCAAAGGGAAGCACCCGGAACTGATAATGTCGGCCCTGAAAGGCGAACCTCAAGAACTTCCGGTGATGGGATGCAATTGGCACGTGGAAGTAGGCGTCCTTCAAGTCCACGGTTGTGAACCACTCCCCCTGTGTGACAACACGAAGGGTGTCTGCTGTGGTTAACATATGGAAGGGCAGTACCCTCAATAATCTGTTGATTCCTCTGAGGTACAGAACTGGACGGAATCCGCCAACTTTCTTGCTCACAAGAAAGTACGCAGAGTAGAACCCCCCGCCCTGAAGCAGGGGGTCCACTGGCTCGATTGCGCCCTTGGCCAAGAGGACGGACAACTCTTGGGCCAGAGCTAAGGCCTTCGCCGGGTCGTTGACAACTGTCATACTGACCCGGCCGAAGGCTAGGGGCCGGCGTCGGAACAGCAATTCGTAGCCCTGGGTTAGGGTGGAGATCACCCAAGGGTCGGAAGTACAGGCAGCCCAGTAGCTGAGCTGCTGCTGAGAAAAACAGCCGACGACCGGCCTCGGGACTTCAGGTCCGGTAAGGCTCTGAAGCACGAGGCCGCCTGGAAGCCAGGCGACCTGGGGCACGAAAGCCATCGGCCGGTTGAGTGGGCCGCTGGGACCTCTGCAGACCACCCCTGTAAGCCGGTGGCTGAGTGCGGCTGCTAGAGCGGCCCCTGGGCCTGCTGGGAGAGGCCACGGGTCTGCGAAGACCCGAGAGCTGCTGCCTGGTCTGCCTAGCTTGGGCAGCGCGCTCCAGTGCCTCCAGGGCAGCTGACCCAAACAGCTCCCCTGGCACGACTGGCACGACTGGCACGCTACGGAGGACTCTCCTACATGTCTCCGTCAGTGGTGACTGAGCCAGCCAAACCTGGCGACGAGTCTGTACCAGAAAGGACATAACTCGTCCCAATTCCCTAGTCATTAGGGCAAAGGCCTGCAGTGATGCATCACTGAGGCCCAGCAAAGAAGGCTCGGCCGGAGCGTGCTGCAGCGAGGCGGAGACGGCCAGCATTAGATGGGAGAGGGAGTTCCCGATACGACCCATGCGTGCTGCTGCGTCGTAGGCCCTACAGAGCAGCCCATCTGTGACCCTGCACTGAGGCTGAGGGCACCTGACCACAGGCCTTAGAGCCTCGTCAGAAGCCAGAATCAGGGAGGCGATGGCAGGCTCAATGGGTGGCATGCCACCCAGCCCCACCCTCGCCGGGTCCTGCATGGCAGCCAAGGTCCGGGCATCGGAGCCAGCGTGGCCGAGGGCCCTGGTGTTCCTCCAGCATGCCTGGAGCTCCCTCAGGTACTCCTCTGAAGGAGGAACGGTGAGGGGGACAGGGGCTGGGCTACGCCTGAAGAAGGCACTAGCCTGAACTAAGTCGGCCTGCGGAACCGGAATCTGCAGGTGCGCCAGGGCCGTACGAATAATGGCCGCCATGGAGTCGTCATCCACGCCCTGCCGAGACCCCTGAGCAGAGGAGAGGGAAGCCTCCTCGAGCGGGACCTCGTCCTCCGTCTCTTCATTGAAGAGGTTAGCCGAAGCCGCTAGCGACAAGGCATCCTCATACAGAGGTGCGGCAACCGAAGGAGGGGCGGCAACCGAAGGAGGGGCAGGCGGCACACTAGCAGCACCTATACCGGGCCCTGGCTGAAGGGCCAAGAGGAGCGACTTCATTGTGTCCATGTCGGTAGCCAGCTGATCCACTTTAGAGGACAGCCTGTTTCTAGTCCTCCTATTGGGGGGTGCACCCATGGCCATCGCTCCCTCAAGTCGCCGGGGACGGCCGAACTGATCTGGAGGAGGATGTGACCAAGAGAGGTGTCCATTGGCTGCCGCCAGCTGTTCCACCTCAGTGAGTCTAGCCATTCTGAGTGCCCGGGGCATGCAGCTACAGTTCATGCAGGCCCCTACCGTGAGAGCCTCCCTTAGATGCTCGAGGCCGAGGCAAGAGGGGCAGCGGTCATGGCCGTCCTCGGGCTCAAGAGAAGTCATACAGGCGCTACATGCATGAGCCATTCTGTAGGTAGCCAGACGCCTCGTAGCCGGGAGCGGGTGCGGGAACACAGCCTTCACCAGCTACCTGCTTCACAGAAAGAGTAGAGCCGCGCCGCTACTCGCCAAACAGAAAGAGGGATGTAAGTATACCCACGTTACCGGCAGAGGGAGCGGGAGCGAGAGCACTGCCTTCACCTGGCTGGGTTAATAAATAAGGCAGTTTACCAGGAGCGGGGGCGAGAACACTGCCTTCACTGGTTGAGCTAGAGGCGAGTGCCAGATGCAGCGTAACCGGGAGCGGGTGTGGGAACACAGCCTTCACCAGCTACCTGCTTAACGGGAACCGGGCAATTTAGCGTCTACCAGGAGCGGGGGCGAGAACACTGCCTTCACTGGTTAAATTAAACACGAGTGCCAGATGCAGCGTAACCGGGAGCGGGTGCGAGAGCACAACCTTCACCAGCTACCTGCTTAAAGGAATAAACAAGGCAGTTTAGCGTCTACCAGGAGCGGGGGCGAGAGCACTGCCTTCACTGGTTGAGTTAAAGACGAATGCCTACCTGCTGAACGGGAAGAGTAGAGCGGTGCTGCTACTCACCGAACAAACAAAGGGGATGTAGCTACACCCCAAATCAAGAAGCTTTACACAAGCTAAGACCGGAAACTGGCTTCTAAAGAAAAAACAGCACGGGAAACTCCGGTGCTTAACACGGCGTCAGCCGAGTGGCTGCAACGCTACTGCTAACTAGCTCAATGCTAATGAAGTTCGCAGAATAAGTACAAAAGCACAGCAAGGGCAACTCCTGGGAGAGGGAGCGGAAACACCTCCGTCACCATAAAAGTTGAAGCGCAAAAAGCAAAACAGACAGTAACGGGACAACTCGTCTGGGAGAGGGAGCGAAAACACTGCCATCACCAACCAAGCCGACACAAACCTGTCCGAACGAAGTCTCTGCGCAGCCAGCCACAGCTCCTGGAGGACGGGTAAACCCGCGGCCCCGACTGGATGAGTCGCGAAGCTGCACGCAGCCAGCTGTTTGCAGAGAATCCTTAACAAATATTCCAACCGAACGAACGCTGTAGGCTACAAAAAATGTAGCCAAGGTACTCTCGCGCAGCGAGAAGATGAAAGGAACAGATCCACTGACGACACCGGCTGATATAGCCGGTGTCACGTGGGTCACAGGTGACTTTGTTGGTATTGGTACTCGAGCTGCGCATGCGCGCGATGGACACATCCAGTGCTAAAGCACCGCCTCTGGCGGTCAGTAGGGACGAAATAGAACCACATGTTCAAACAACAGGGAAAGAATTGTCCTTTAGATTTGTGCCGATCTGGACATGAGGTTAACTATATACAGGGGGAGGCGTGTGGTGCAGTGGGTTGTGCGTTGGTGTTGGGGTCAGGTTCAAACCCCACTGCAGTCAGCATGTCGTTGTGTTCCTGAGACGCTGCACCCCAAAGTGCTCCTGTGGGGATTGTCCACAGTATTGAGTATGTAAGTCACTTTGGATAAAAGCGTTCAACAAGTGACATGTGATGAAATAATATATTGTTATTTCTCATTTATGGTGCATCTGGTGATGTTACAGAGTAATCCAAAAGTAATGTAACTAGTGACTTTGAGCAGTGAGTAATTGAGTTGAGTAACTCCCCTAACACTGGTAGTGATAGTAATGAAACATATTGCTCATCAGTCTGGTTGTACAACATAGTCTTTGGTTTTTTTCTAAATGCTTTTAAGGTTTTTTCATTTTGTAAATCACTTTGAGTTGCCTTTGAGCTGCTGCGGTAATACACCTGCCTAACATGTCCTGGTGTTTTTGTGTCCTGGTGTCTTTGTGTCCTGGTGTCTTTGTGTCCTGGTGTCTTTGTGTCCTGGTGTCTTTGTGTCCTGGTGTCTTTGTGTCCTGGTGTCTTTGTGTCCTTGTGTCTTTGTGTCCTGGTGTCTTTGTGTCCTGGTGTCTTTGTGTCCTGGTGTCTTTGTGTCCTGGTGTCTTTGTGTCCTTGTGTCTTTGTGTCCTGGTGCTTGTGTCCTTGGTCTTTGTCCTGGTGTCTTTGTGTCCTGGTGTCTTTGTGTCCTTGTGTCTTTGTGTCCTGGTGTCTTTGTGTCCTGGTGTCTTTGTGTCCTGGTGTCTTTGTGTCCTGGTGTCTTTGTGTCCTGGTGTCTTTGTGTCCTTGTGTCTTTGTGTCCTGGTGTCTTTGTGTCCTGGTGTCTTTGTGTCCTGGTGTCTTTGTGTCCGGGTGTCCTGTGTCTCCTCCTCCTGTCTTTGTGTCCTGGTGTCTTTGTGTCCTTGTGTCTTTGTGTCCGGGTGTCCTGTGTCTCCTCCTCCTGTCTTTGTGTCTTTCTGTCTTTCTGTCCTGGTGTCTTTCTGTCCTGTGTCCGGGTGTCCTGGTGCCTCCTCCTTCTGTCTTTGTGTCTTTCTATCCTGGTGTCCTGTGTCCGGGTGTCTTTGTGTCCTGGTGTCTCCTCCTCCTGTCCTGTTGTCTTTATGTCTTTCTGTCCCGGTGTCCCTGTGTCCAGCTTCCTGCGGGTGATAAGCCGATCCATGCCTCTCTTCATGACTCTGGCCTGGATGTACTCGGTGGCCATCATCCTGAAGAGCATCGTGTACGAGAAGGAGGCTCGCCTGAAGGAGACCATGAGGATCATGGGCCTGAACAACGGCATCCTGTGGTTCAGCTGGTTCCTCAGCAGCCTGGTGCCCCTGCTGGTCAGCGCCAGCCTGCTGGTGCTGCTGCTCAAGGTCAGAACTCCACATGGTCACCTATTATGAAAATCCCCTTATGATGTCATAACAATGTTTTGTCTTGTGTAACCATTAGCCAATCAGCAACCAAGGGAACCCCCCCCCCCCCCCCTTGTCACCTGAATCTCCTCTAGAGCACCATTGAGTTCTTTTTAACCAAATGTCTCTCAGAGGGGCGTGCCGAGGGGCTCCTTATTTTCATCTAAAGACCTAGCTGTTAGCCGTTAGCTGTTAGCCGTTAGCCGTCAGCTGTTAGCTGTTAGCCGTTAGCTGTTAGCCGTTAGCCGTTAGCTGTTAGCTGTTAGCTGTTAGCTGTTGTAACCCTACAAACATTAACCGGGTTCCTTGTTTGTTTGTTTATTTATTTAAAGGACAGTGCACATTAATCAGCATTGCTGTAAACGTGCCAGTGTTAGCAGCAGGCTAATGTTCAACTGTTGTCTTTGGCAAGATGTTAAATAACCACAACAAGACTAGAGAAATAAAAACATAATTAAAAAGAGTACAACAGCAGTACAACAATACATAGCAGTAACACCTATCATACTATGATACAGTTAAAAGTGTTCACATGTTTGATTGCTTAAAAGCCAGTTCTTATGATTTACGGTTAAATGCATGATAGGAGGTGTTATTCCTGATCTGTATTGGTATTGTGTTCCAGAGTGTTGATGCCCTCACAGAGAAACAGTGTTGACCAAAGGAGCTGGACCTAAGAGGGGCCGCACAGTCCCTCTTAGGGCAGACCTTGTGGTTCTGCTGTTTGAATGGTTCTGCTGTATAAAAGTGCAGAGTGGTGGGGGTGCCTTGCCGTTTATAATCTTAAAAATGTCCTCCATGCAGATGGGGGACCTGCTGCCCTACAGCGACCCCGGCGTGGTCTTCCTGTTCATGGGATCCTTTGCGGTAGTGACCATCATGCAGTGCTTCCTGCTCAGCACGGCGTTCAACCGCGCTAACCTGGCGGCGGCGTGCGGCGGCATCATCTACTTCACGCTCTACCTGCCCTACGTGCTCTGCGTCGCCTGGCAGGACTACATCGGCTACGGGGCCAAAGTATTTGCGGTAAGAACTTCGCCCACCAGCCATCGTATTGAATTATGTATATAAGCCCTAAAACTATAAACTAATTTAAAGATTATATTACTGAACATTAATCTTGTAAGACGATAAGATAAGATAAGATAAGAAGTACTTTATTGATCCCAATTTGGGAAATGTTTGCTTTACAGCAGCATGAAAAGACTCTTGTCATTGTCAAGGCATTGTACAGTAACAATTGAAAGACTAGAAATAAACAATCCAAAATGTAAACACCTAAATAGAAAGAAAATAGCATTAACATTTTTATTTGACAAATGTACATTAACAAAGAAATGTGCATTAATGCAAGAGAGCTGAACTATATACATGTCAGATAAATGACAACAGAATGTAAGATTAGATCCTGTTTGTGTTGTGATGAATACATGTGATCCCGCAGAGCCTCCTTTCCCCCGTGGCGTTCGGGTTCGGCTGTGAATACTTCGCCCTGTTCGAGGAGCAGGGTGTGGGCATCCAGTGGAGCAACCTGGTGTCCAGCCCCCTGGAGGAGGACGACTACAGCCTGCGCACCGCCATCATCATGATGTACGTGGACTCCTTCCTGTACGGCCTGCTCACCTGGTACATCGAGTCCGTGTTCCCAGGTGAGAGGACTTTGAATCTGAATCAGAGTTCCTTCATTAGTCCCACAGCGGGGAACCGGTGTTACAGCAGGGTAATAAAGACTAAGCTAACTCATAAGTAATACAATACACAACCATGAGTAAACAACTGCGAGTAAACAACCACGAGTAAACAACCATGACTACACAACCACGAGTAAACAACCATGACTACACAACCACGAGTAAACAACCATGGGTACACAACCATGAGTAAACAACCATGAATACACAACCAAGAGTAAATAACCACGAGTAAACAACCATGAGTACACAACCACGAGTAAACAACCATGAGTACACAACCACGAGTAAACAACCATGAGTACACAACCACGAGTAAACAACCATGAGTACACAACCACGAGTAAACAACCATGAGCACACAACCACGAGTAAACAACCATGAGTACACAACCACGAGTAAACAACCATGAGTACACAACCAGGAGTAAACAACTGCGAGTAAACAACCACCAATAAACAACCATGACTACACAACCACGAGTAAACAACCATGAGTACACAACCACGAGTAAACAACCATGAGTACACAACCATGAGTAAACAACCATGAATACACAACCACGAGTAAACAACCACGAGTAAACAACCACGAGTAAACAACCACGAGTAAACAACCACGAGTACACAACCACGAGTAAACAACCACGAGTAAACAACCACGGGTACACAACCACGAGTAAACAACCATGAGTACACAACCATGAGTAAACAACCATGAATACACAAACATGAATACACAACCACGAGTAAACAACCATGAGTACACAACCATGAGTAAACAACCATGAGTAAACAACCATGAATGCACAACCATGAATACACAACCACGAGTAAACAACCATGAGTACACAACCACGAGTAAACAACCATGAGTAAACAACCATGACTACACAACCACAAGTAAACAACCATGAGTAAACAACCATGAATACACAACCATGAATACACAACCACGAGTAAACAACCATGACTACACAACCACGAGTAAACAACCATGAATACACAACCACGAGTAAACAACCATGAATACACAACCACGAGTAAACAACCATGTGTAAACAACCACGAGTAAACAACCACGAGTAAACAACCACAACTACACAACCACGAGTAAACAATCACGAGTACACAGCCATGAGTACACAACCATGAGTACACAACCATGAGTACACAACCATGAGTAAACAACCACGAGTAAACAACCACGAGTACACAACCATGGCTGAAAATGAGTATAGGCAATTTTAACAAGTGACAAGCGTATCACGTGTTAGAGATTCTCACACTAGAACGTTTTATTTTCGGATTCATCCCTCGATTAAATATATTCTGCACAATCGTTTTAAATCTTGATTTTTGCTTTATCGTGTTTTTCTTTTTTGGGTGGAAGCGTTCGGCTGAAGAGACTCAACATTATTCTTAAACCTGACCTGTGATTTTTCTTGTCATGTGATCTTGAAGTAAAGTTAGTCCATAAAAAAAGGTTTGGGATATCTCTAAGAAGAAGAAGGACGTGCCTCTCGTTACTTCAGCCTCTTTCTGATTGGATAGTAAAGATGGTAATAGTGAATGAGAATGTGACTCTCTTTGGAGGAAACCGGTGACCTTCACCTGTGACCTTCACCTGTGACCTTCACCTGTACAGGTTTTAAACCTAGTGGGTGGGCTCTGTGATGTCACGGGCTGTAACAGACAGCATGGGATTACATGTTATTATTCTAAACTAACAGGGAGACGTAGAAACATCCTCAGGAGACGCTGAATGAGCTGAACTGCAGGAACACAAAGCACTATGGGACTATGAGTAATATCTGTCTGTGTCTCAGGTCAGTACGGGATCCCTCGGCCCTGGTTCTTCCTCTTCACCAAGTCCTACTGGTGGGGGGAGCCCTACGTCAGGTCCAAGGTCCACCTGAGCCAGAAGGCAAACCCAGAAGGTGAGGCTTTTATTGTGAAAGAGACTTCCTGTGACTTTAAGTGTGAAAGTGACTTCCTGTGACTCTTATTGTGAAAGAGACTTCCTGTGACTCTTATTGTGAAAGAGACTTCCTGTGACTCTTATTGTGAAAGAGACTTCCTGTGACTCTTATTGTGAAAGAGACTTCCTGTAACTCTTATTGTGAAAGAGACTTCCTGTGACTCTTATTGTGAAAGAGACTTCCTGTGACCAGGGGTGGACTGGGACTACAAATCAGCCCGGGACTCTCGACCGGCCCACTTCGGTACCGCCGGCCGACCGCGGTACCGCAAGTAAATACTGCTAGTAAATACTGCTAGTAAATACTGCTAGTAAATTGTCGACTTATAATGAAAACACATTTGTTGCAATAGCAATGTATGCACTAACTACATTACTACTTATACTACAACATTTGAATCATCAGTTCTTCCTAATTCTCCTCAATTGTTCATATTTGGTTTATTAAAATAATGATATTGTGGTCATTGTTAAAAAATGTCTGCTATTATTATGAGTATTATTATTTGTATAATGCGCTTTCTGCCTTCCTGTCATTAGGAGTTAGACATGTAATGGCTATGTAATAGATTAGATTAGAACCTTCATTATCCTAAACTGCTGGGACATTTCCAGCCAATACCTTTATATGTTCTACTCTTCACTTATACCTCATTCACACCAACGCAACTCCGGTTCAAGCTCCGTGCTAGAGCTTTTCAGGTTCAGAACCAGTTCTTCGGTTTAGCTCTGGCCTCTTTCACACCGCCCAGAGTCCGACTGGTAATGCGTCGTTGCGTCATCGTTTGCGTCATGACGTAACCGTTTGCGTGCCTGCTTCATAAAGCCAAACCGTGCGGATGAAATCAGTTGCATTCATTTCTTATGGCTCGATCTGCAGCTTCTCCGGAGTCATTTCTGTGGTTGAGTTATATTCTTATAAAAAAGTGTACTCGTGTCAATAAAGGTTTTTTTAAAACACAACTGCTTCCGAGGTCGGTCTTATTTCTTAAGGTGGACTGAACCATGAGTGTGGAGTAACGTTGTATCTTTCATTTAAATGAACTGTTACCTTCACCCAGGTATGTAACAGCTGTTCTCAAATGAACACGTGAAGTAAAGTTTAATATTTATAGTTTTATAGATTTATAATGAGTTATAATGAGAGGTGATCAACGTGAATGCTCAGGTTCCACCTTAACACGCAGACACGTTGCTTCACCGTGAGCAGAAACCTTTATACAGTCTATGGCAGAAACACTGAAACTCTGAAACTCTTAAGTTTCTCCATCGTTGTACAAACTGGATAAAACGCGGGCTTGTTGTTGTTGTTCAGGAGTTGATCTGTCTCTGCCCCCGCCTCGACGTAAGCGTGACGTATGCGGTGCTTTTGCTCTGGCCGGACAATTTGTTGGTGCTTGAAACGAACCGGAATCCGGAGCTAAGAGGCTGCTCCGCTGCGGTGTGAAGAGGAAACCCCGGTGCTTTTCAAGCTCTAGCTCCGAACCGGCCCTGAAACACCGTTGGTGTGAATGGGGTATTACTGTCAGCATAGGTCGGCATTGATGTACAGAGCCGACAGAAGACCTTGTTTATATTGGCATCATATTGAGAGGTGCAGTGACGCGTCCTGAAACCAGGAAGTAAGCTGCTGGTTCCCTCCACAGAAAGCAATGGGATTTCTCCACAGGGTTTTGGAAAATAGCTGGAAATAAGGTCTGTGGAAAACAAACCTGTTTGATAAATGCACGTTTTATTCAGCCGGATAATCTCCACATGTCTACCCTACTTTTATAATGTTCTAATCATAAATCTAATCGATAGATTATAAAGGGTTTTAGGACGCGTCCCTGCACCTCTAGAAGCCAACTCCATCGATCAAGCTGAAACTTCCTCTCCCTCTTCTTCTCCTCTCCCTGTCTCTCTCCTTTAACTCCTCCGGTGACTTTCTTTTATTTGAAGATTGTTTTTTGCCCGGCGCTTGGCCGGTTACCGCTGGTATTAAAAACATTTTGGCGAATGGTTAGGTGGCGCGATAGTCTGTAGTGAAGGAGCGCGCTCACGGGAGCCTGCTCGCGCTGCGCTCCGCAGCAAACAGCTGTTTGCTTTTCACCCAACAACCACAACCGACTCACGGAACGCTTTGTTGTAGCGTTGATAAACGAAACAATTTAACAAAATTGCTAGTCAAAATACCAATACCATTTTTTTAAAGCAATATTTTTAGTGGCCCGAGCGGGCAAGTGGAAAGTACGTTATGCTGGCCCGGGGTGTCTAGTGCTTCTGGGCCAGCGGGCCATTTATAATGTCCGGCCCACATAGTCCGACCGGCCCACTTCAGTACCGGCCCACTTCAGTACCGGCCCACTTCAGTACCGGCCCATCGGGATTCGTCCCGACGGCCAGTCCGCCCCTGCCTGTGACTCTTATTGTGAAAGAGACTCTTATTGTGAAAGAGACTTCCTGTGACTCTTATTGTGAAGGAGACTTCCTGTTCCCAGTGGTGTGTATGGAGGAGGAACCGGCTCACCTGGAGCCCGGCGTCTACATCGAGAACCTGGTGAAGGTTTACCCCCACGGAAAGAAGCTGGCGGTGGACGGACTGACGCTGGGGTTCTACGAGGGACAGATCACCTCCTTCCTGGGACACAACGGGGCCGGCAAGACCACCACCATGTGAGTAATGACTAGAGACCACCACCATGTGAGTAGAGACTAGAGAACACCACCATGTGAGTAGAGACTAGAGACCACCACCATGTGAGTAGAGACTAGAGACCACCACCATGTGAGTAGAGACTAGAGACCACCACCATGTGAGTAATGACTAGAGACCACCACCATGTGAGTAGAGACTAGAGACCACCACCATGTGAGTAGAGACTGGAGACCAACATGTGAGTAGAGACTAGAGACCACCACCATGTGAGTAATGACTAGAGACCACCACCATGTGAGTAGAGACTAGAGACCACCACCATGTGAGTAAAGACTAGAGACCACCACCATGTGAGTAAAGACTAGAGACCACCACCATGTGAGTAGAGACTAGAGACCACCACCATGTGAGTAATGACTAGAGACCACCACCATGTGAGTAGAGACTAGAGACCACCACCATGTGAGTAATGACTAGAGACCACCACCATGTGAGTAGAGACTAGAGATCACCACCATGTGAGTAAAGACTAGAGACCACCACCATGTGAGTAGAGACTAGAGACCACCACCATGTGAGTAGAGACTAGAGACCACCACCATGTGAGTAGAGACTAGAGACCAACATGTGAGTAGAGACTAGAGACCACCACCATGTGAGTAGAGACTAGAGACCACCACCATGTGAGTAATGACTAGAGACCACCACCATGTGAGTAGAGACTAGAGACCACCACCATGTGAGTAAAGACTAGAGACCACCACCATGTGAGTAGAGACTAGAGACCACCACCATGTGAGTAGAGACTAGAGATCACCACCATGTGAGTAGAGACTAGAGACCACCACCATGTGAGTAGAGACTAGAGACCACCACCATGTGAGTAGAGCATAGAGACCACCACCATGTGAGTAAAGACTAGAGCCCACCATGTGAGTAGAGACTAGAGACCACCATCATGTGAGTAAAGACTAGAGACCACCACCATGTGAGTAAAGACTAGAGACCACCACCATGTGAGTAGAGACTAGAGACCACCACCATGTGAGTAGAGACTAGAGACCACCACCATGTGAGTAATGACTAGAGACCACCACCATGTGAGTAGAGACTAGAGACCACCACCATGTGAGTAGAGACTAGAGGCCACCACCATGTGAGTAGAGCATAGAGACCACCACCATGTCAGTAGAGCATAGAGACCACCACCATGTGAGTAGAGACTAGAGACCACCACCATGTGAGTAGAGACTAGAGACCACCACCATGTGAGTAAAGACTAGAGACCACCATGTGAGTAGAGACTAGAGACCACCACCATGTGAGTAAAGACTAGAGACCACCACCATGTGAGTAGAGACTAGAGACCACCACCATGTGAGTAAAGACTAGAGACCACCACCATGTGAGTAAAGACTAGAGACCACCACCATGTGAGCAAAAGACCCAGAGACCACCACCATGTGAGTAAAGACTAGAGACCACCACCATGTGAGTAAAGACTAGAGACCACCACCATGTGAGTAATTAGAGTAGACTAGAGACCACCACCATGTGAGTAGAGACTAGAGAACCACCACCATGTGAGTAGAGACTAGAGACCACCACCATGTGGTAGAGACTAGAGTACCACCACCATGTGAGTAGAGACTAAGAGACCACCACCATGTGAGTAATGACTAGAGACGACCACCATGTGAGTAGAGATAGAGACCACCACCATGTGAGTAGAGACTGGAGACCAACATGTGAGTAGAGACTAGAGACCACCACCATGGTGAGTAATGACTAGAGACCACCACCATGTGAGTAGAGACTAGAGACCACCACGCATGTGAGTAAGACTATGAGACCACCACCATGTGAGTAAAGACTAGAGACCACCACCATGTGAGTAGAGACTAGAGACCACCACCATGTGAGTAGAGACTAGAGACCACCACCATGTGAGTAATGACTAGAGACCACCACCATGTCAGTAGAGACTAGAGTCCACCACCATGTGAGTAGAGAATAGAGACCAACATGTGAGTAGAGACTAGAGACCACCACCATGTGAGTAATGACTAGAGACCACCACCATGTGAGTAGAGACTAGAGACCACCACCATGTGAGTAAAGACTAGAGACCACCACCATGTGAGTAGAGACTAGAGACCACCACCATGTGAGTAGAGACTAGAGACCACCACCATTTGAGTAGAGACTAGAGACCACCACCATGTGAGTAGAGACTAGAGACCACCACCATGTGAGTAGAGACTAGAGACCAACATGTGAGTAGAGACTAGAGACCACCACCATGTGAGTAGAGACTAGAGACCACCACCATGTGAGTAATGACTAGAGACCACCACCATGTGAGTAGAGACTAGAGACCACCACCATGTGAGTAATGACTAGAGACCACCACCATGTGAGTAGAGACTAGAGACCACCACCATGTGAGTAGAGATTAGAGACCACCACCATGTGAGTAGAGCATAGAGACCACCACCATGTGAGTAAAGACTAGAGACCACCATGTGAGTAGAGACTAGAGACCACCACCATGTGAGTAAAGACTAGAGACCACCACCATGTTAGTAAAGACTAGAGACCACCACCATGTGAGTAGAGACTAGAGACCACCACCATGTGAGTGATGACTAGAGACCACCACCATGTGAGTAGAGACTAGAGACCACCACCATGTGAGTAAAGACTAGAGACCACCACCATGTGAGTAGAGACTAGAGACCACCACCATGTGAGCAAAGACCCAGAGACCACCATGTGAGTAAAGACTAGAGACCACCACCATGTGAGTAGAGACTAGAGACCACCACCATGTGAGTAGAGACTAGAGACCACCAACATGTGAGTAGAGACTAGAGACCACCACCATGTGAATAGAGACTAGAGACCACCACCATGTGAGTAATGACTAGAGAACACCACCATGTGAGTAGAGACTAGAGACCACCACCATGTGAGTAGAGACTAGAGACCACCACCATGTGAATAGAGACTAGAGACCACCACCATGTGAGTAAGACTAGAGAACACCACCATGTGAGTAGAGACTAGAGACCACCACCATGTGAGTAGAGACTAGAGACCACCACCATGTGAGTAATGACTAGAGACCACCACCATGTGAGTAGAGACTAGAGACCACCACCATGTGAGTAGAGACTAGAGACCACCACCATGTGAGTAGAGACTAGAGACCACCACCATGTGAGTAGAGACTAGAGACCACCACCATGTGAGTAGAGACTAGAGACCACCACCATGTGAGTAATGACTAGAGACCACCACCATGTGAGTAGAGACTAGAGACCACCACCATGTGAGTAGAGACTAGAGACCACCACCATGTGAGTAATGACTAGAGACCACCACCATGTGAGTAGAGACTAGAGACCAACATGTGAGTAGAGACTAGAGACCACCACCATGTGAGTAGAGACTAGAGACCACCACCATGTGAGCAAAGACGAGACTAGAGCCCACCACCATGTGAGTAGAGACTAGGGACCACCATGTGAGTAAAGACAAGAGACTAGAGACCACCACCATGTGAGTAAAGACTAAAGACCACCACCGTGTGAGTAGAGACTAGAGACCACCCACCATGTGAGTAATGACTAGAGACCACCACCATGTGAGTAGAGAACTAGAGACCACCACCATGTGAGTAATGACTAGAGACCACCACCATGTGAGTAGAGACTAGTAGACCACCACCATGTGAGTAATGTAACTAGAGACCACCAACCATGTGAGTAGAGACTAGAGACCACCACCATGTGAGTAATGACTAGAGACCACCACCATGTGAGTAGAGACTAGAGACCACCACCATGTGAGTAGAGACTAGAGACGACCACCATGTGAGTAGAGCATAGAGACCACCACCATGTGAGTAAAGACTAGAGACCACCACCATGTGAGTAGAGACTAGAGACCACCATGTGAGTAAAGACTAGAGACCACCACCATGTGAGTAAAGACTAGAGACCACCACCATGTGAGTAGAGACTAGAGACCACCACCATGTGAGTAAAGACTAGAGACCACCACCATGTGAGTAAAGACTAGAGACCACCACCATGTGAGTTAAGACTAGAGACCACCACCATGTGAGCAAAGACCCAGAGACCACCATGTGAGTAAAGACTAGAGCCCACCACCATGTGAGTAAAGACTAGGGACCACCATGTGAGTAAAGACAAGAGACTAGAGACCACCACCATGTGAGTAAAGACTAAAGACCACCACCCATGTGAGTAGAAGACTAGAGACCACCATGTGAGTAATGACTAGAAACCACCACCATGTGAGTAGAGACTAGAGAACTAGAGGACCACCACCATGTGAGTAATGACTAGAGACCACCACCATGTGAGTAGAGACTAGAGACCACCACCATGTGAGTAATGACTAGAGACCACCACCATGTGAGTAGAGACTAGAGACCACCACCATGTGAGTAGAGACTAGAGACCACCACCATGTGAGTAGAGACTAGAGACCACCACCATGTGAGTAATGACTAGAGACCACCACCATGTGAGTAGAGACTAGAGACCACCACCATGTGATTAATGACTAGAGACCACCACCATGTGAGTAGAGACTAGAGACCACCACCATGTGAGTAGAGACTAGAGACCACCACCATGTGAGTAGAGACTAGAGACCACCACCATGTGAGTAATGACTAGAGACCACCACCATGTGAGTAGATCATAGAGACCACCACCATGTGAGTATAGACTAGAGACCACCACCATGTGAGTAGAGACTAGAGACCACCACCATGTGAGTAGAGCATATAGACCACCACCATGTGAGTAGAGACTAGAGACCAACATGTAAGTAGAGACTAGAGACCACCACCATGTGAGTAGAGACTAGAGACCACCACCATGTGAGTAGAGACTAGAGACCACCACCATGTGAGTAGAGACTAGAGACCACCACCATGTGAGTAATGACTAGAGACCACCACCATGTGAGTAGAGACTAGAGACCAA